TCAGTACATCCAAACCACGCCAGAGAGCAACACAAAGACAAACTTTCTGAAGACCTTCTTTGACTATGTTACCACACTGGCTACTGTTGTATTGCGAAGCCTGAATGCAGACCTAGGTAGGTGGCTTCTGCAGGAAAGCCTGACCTGACCGTAGTTGAAGTTACCCAGACTGCACAGTCTGGCCTGCTGCTGAGGGGTAGCAGTGTAGAAATGTATCCTTGCCAAAACTCTCAAATATGCATAGTCAGTTTTTCTTCTGATTTCTACTAATTATTATATTGTCTTTTTTTTACTAGTATTTATTTCTTAGTGCCCAGGTCAGGGTTTTATTCATTTTTGAAAGTACCTATAGTTTTGTGTATGTAGCTTATTTGTTTGCTTTTTACTTGACCATCTCCTTTGCTTACTTGGAGCTGATTAGGGAAGGGACTCTTTAATCCCTATCCAGAGAATTCTCAAAAGTATTACTGTATGTGTTGCCACTGCAAATACATGCTTTGATTTAAAGGTTGAAGTAAAAATGCTAAATCAAATATACTTAGATCTCCCTTAAAAGCCAATGACACTCCATAAAGCACTCTGTTCTGGTAATGCCTCTAGTAAAGTGTGAGCCAATGATGCAAAGTTTGAAAAGCATATCATAAATGCCTTGTAGTTTGCTCTGGTTTTTACCTCACTTAAGTGAATACGGACCTTTGAATGTGAGCAAAGAAGCTTCAGAAGATTCAGGCTTTTAAAAAACTGTGCTTCTAAAACAAGACTTGGTTGGTGTATTCAGCTAATATTTTTTTTCTTATATAAATGTTCTGTTTTGCTCTAATTTTTAAAGATCCATCTGCAGAAGTGAAAGTGGGGAATCCTTTTATACTGTTACAGCAGAGTCCATCTCACCTGCTCTCCCAACTTGTGTTTGAGAAACAAGTTCATCCTGACAGGTTGGTGCTTTTCAGATCCTTACCTAGGTTGGTTTAATGTCAGAGAGTTTGGACCTCAACCAAGATGGAAATCTTCTGTGATTGCTTAGCAGTAAGTTCTACTTCTTTAAAGGAATGGCAGCATAAGGTCTGAATCACCATTCTTGTGCTATATAAATTCTCTCATACAGGGTAGTAGGATTTGGATTCTTCCACTGTATGTACCTCTGAAGGCTATAAGGGGTTTGTGTTTGTAGAATGCCTGGAAGCTTTATGAAAGCAGTTAACTGTAAAGTACTGTTCCTGTGCTTTGGGTAAGCCCGTTCGTGTTTTCAATCCTCCAGGCTTGCTACCCTTTTGGCTAAAGAAGATTTGAACTTGAATGTGCAGCAAGTTATTGTTAACTGTTGTTGTGAGCCGCTCTCCTTGTGCAGTGCAAGACAAAACAACCAGAAAATATGCCTTCTGGCAAACATAAGAAACCTAGCACACCTCTATGCCTGCAACTGCTTGCCAGATGTTGAAATACCCATCCACAGTCCTGAAAGAGCCTCTGATGGGGCCTGCACACTGATCCCATCCTCCGTGGCTGACTTGAACCAGAACACACTCACTGCCTCCTCCCTGGACTTCCTAAAGTCTCAGTCAAGGCTCATGGCCACAGTGGCATGTTTAAGTGCAGCTAGCGTACAGGAAACTCCCAGATCCAGTTTATCATGGATGGAATTTTGGGGCAAACGGGAGGTGCCACTAGGTATGGAACAGATTTCCAGGGAGTGCGAGGCCTTGTTGAAGGAATTCTCATTCCTGGAGCGATTTCTTCTTATGATGTTTGAGCCACTTCGAAATCCGCAGGAGGAGGGCAGCAGTTTGGCCAGTGTCCTCTGTGGCAAGGCACACATGTCCCTGGTTCTCCTAGGATTGCATTCCTCCACAGCTGTTGAGGTGCTAATGGCGGTCTTGGAAAAAGCACTTGCAGCAAAGGACTGGGCCAGAGCTCTAGAGGTCTTGGATCTGTACAGCCAGGGTATGGAGGAGCTGGCCAGTGTGAAGGATGCTGTGCTGAGCTGTGCGGCTGCTGACGGTAAGAAGCATTATGTGGGGTGGGGGGGTTGTATCTTATTCTTTCTTGTGAAGAGTACAGTTGGGTACAGGAGGTTGAAAGGAGGGGCATAATTGGTGGTGAAATACAAAGAATAATCCCTTCCCTTTCTCCATCATAAACGTGATTTTGCTGATGGTGTGATTTCTGTGCTACAAATGAGTAAATCTTGACACTAAACTTGGTTTAGGGAAAAAAAAAAAAGTACCACAGAACTTAGATGGATCTGTGATATTGCTTATTTGTGAAGAGCAAATGCCCCTGGAGATGTTAATTATAGTTCTCTTAAGGGAACATCTCTAGCAGTGTTACTGTTCTCCCTTCAAGGGATATATGTATGATGTATCCTGTGAAAGGAGGAGCTGCTGGGAGTCTGAAGACCATATGTGTCCCATTCTGACTTTGACAGCTTCCTGCAAGTATGCTTGGGATAAGTCTAGCGTGGGTTTTCAGCAGTTGTACTGTGGGTTGTTTTTTTTCCTTCCCCTCTTGGTGAGGTCACTCAGTGCAGATAAGGGTTTTCTCTTTTAAACCATAGAAACTGGGCTTCAAACTGGTCGTTTATGTTCTCCTCACATACTTTTCCCACAGGTAAAGATGGTTGGCAGTACTTGTTCCCAGTAAAAGATGCAACACTTAGGAGTAGGCTGGCTCTGCGCTGTCTAGACACATGGCCCCTTGATGCCTGTTTGGAAATCCTGTCTTATTGTGCCTCAGATTTGGACATAACTGATGAACTAAAATCCACTCTGCAGAGCAAGAAGAAAGAACTGCAGGTTTATCAGAAGGTACAAAGTTGTTCCGAGTAACCAGTAAGACAAGCAGGTAACAGAGAGTATGCATGCTCTTAAAAACTGTAGATTCCTTTTTCAATGTAATTGTTTTTCAAGTCTTTCATTCAAAATGGATTATGTTTTCAGTGCTGTTTAGTACTGGATATTAAATCCAGTACTAGCTCCCCCTGCATCCTTCATAACTTTTCTACTCACCTGTTAGACTTCAGGTTTGCAAACAGATCTAAACTTTTGCGTGGCACCACTCTTCTCCCTCTCCCCCCTCCCTTCCAAATTATTTGTTCTTCCAATATGTACAAATGCAAGAATCTCTGGAAGCTTCCCGTGACAGCTCATCGTTTTATAAGAGCAGAGATGTGTCTAGGCAAGGTTTATGGAATAAATGCCCCAGTAGAAGCATTTGATTTATAATACAGGCACCCAATTGCAGTGTAATGTAGGTACCTAAGATAAGTCAGACTAACTGGCCAAAAGTTTAACACATTTTGCTTGGTCTGGCTTTTCAGACTGAGCAATCATGAATTCTGTCTGGGATCGGTTCTGCTAGCTTATGTCAGGAGTTACGTCAGGTATATCACTGGTACAGCAGTGCTAACAATGTCTATGGTATCTTAGTCTTTTAGTAACTTTGCCTTAGAAATCTGTTTGCACAAAGGCGCTCATAGAGCAACACATCTGAAAAACTCCTGTGTTTCTTCTTGGGGTAGAAGTGCATTTCATCGTTCCAAAAGGCAGGTGGAGATAAACGAGGGGGCTCATTTTTGACTTTCTTGGTATGAGGAAACTCAGAATGTGATCAGTTTGGCCATTTTCTTAGGCTTAATGGTTAATGTGGATACTTTCTAAAACTTACGCTATACTAATTGTTTTCAGATAATGAATTTGCAAAATGAACCACTGTGGAGCGATTGGCAGGATCTGAAAAGAGCCTGCACTGATGATCCTCAAACCATCATGGATATCATTCTGAAGGCAAAGGTTAGGCATCCTCATGTGAATGCTGTTGAACTAGAATGCGTTACCGTTTGAATTGGCAAATTTTGATGACGTATTTTAAAACCCTGGTCAAAAAATTACCTTACAAAGAAGAAATTCTTTATTCAGTTCTATGCTGCAGAAACAGATGCAAATATGTATTTCATGTCAAGATTACATGACAAGTCTCCAGTAACTCTTGTTCTGAAATGCTGCCTCTTCTTTGTTCTTAGAATTTTAAAATCTTTAGTAGTATGGCTTTTGGCATGATACAGGCTTAATTACTTCAGAAGTGTCAATACCCTAGGTCCCAGGTAGTCATAGCTGGCTTGAGAAGTGGATGTCTAGAAAGATACCTTGCCTCTAGGGAGATAGGAGTGTTCTCAATGCAGCCTGTGGCTGTGGCAAAACAAAAGCTCTTCTCTTTCTCATTGTCATTTTTAATTATTTACATTATTTACAGAGAACCTAAGCTACAGAATATCTTGAGAAGTTGATCAGAGCTTTGAAAGAAACAGCTTCACTTCAGGAAGTTGGATTTTTATTTGTGGTTTTTGTTTTTCCTTATCTTTTTTTTCCAGGATTATGAGTTGTGTGAGGAATGGGGCCACTTGTATCCTGTCCCAAGAGAAAATTTAATAAGCTTTCACCAAGAACACCTTCTCCATTTACTGGAGATGGGAGACATGGAAAAAGCCTTGAAGGTAACAGCGGAACTCTCTCGGCATCACATCTAAAGGTCAAATTAGCAGAGAACAAGACATCCAAACTTTTAGTTAACATGAATTGCTCATATCAAAGGCATGATGGGAGAGGGAAGCAGAGCCACCCTCTTCATTATAAGCATGCAAGATAACATGCAATGTTGCCTAGGTCAATGTTGCATGATGAGGTCTTCCGTTTTCTCTAACTTAATGTCAGCAACTACTTTTGAGATGCATTTTGGAGCTCTTGTAGCTCTCATCCCCAACAGCTCAAACTATAAGGTAGAACATTCCAGAGACTTGAGGCCAGTCTCAAGCAGTGCTTTTGTTTAACAGTTTATGTGAGGTTTTTAACTAGTACTGTGTTTATCCTACAGTTGTGAGGGCTTCACATTGTTTCCCGAAATGCTGGTATTTTTTTTTCTGAGTATTAAGAATAATATCAGAAGATGAGACTTGCCCATGTTTTGTCTTTTGTTCTGTCTGTGTATTGCATGTTGGCAAATTGATCATTAGGTTTTATAGTAACTGTTTTCTTTGGCTTATGGGCATTTTTCCCACCTCCTCCTTTAAAGGATGCCAATTGCTTAGAGCCCTGTTTTTCACCCAGTCAATTTAAGTGAAAATACATCTTGTCAATCTAGCTTTGGGATGAAAATGTGTAAATGCCTTCATGGTCATTCTAATTAAATAGAAATGTGGAGCTCCTTTTTATTTGAGAAATCATAAGGGAATATTTTTGTGCTGTTTAAGCAGAAGAATCAGGAAGTGAAAGTTATAACAAAAATTGGTCAAGTAGACATCAGTGCCTGGTGTAAATTTATCTGGTTTAGTAATTAGGAGGGCACTGCAAATAATGGAGAGAGGGAAATAGAAGTTAAAGGCTGGTTTAGACAGTGTAGGCATTAGAGTACTTTGCAGAGTACTTTCTCATTGATGCATCTGCTGTTTCATTGTTCACTTAATTTTTCCTTGCTTTAATTTTAAATCTATTATAAATATATTCTAATTAGAGCAGTTAGGCAAGGAATGATCTAAGTAATACAATTTTTTATATATATATTTAAAAATAGGCTATTGCAAATTAAATAAAATGCCTGTAGGACCATCACAGGCCAATAATCTGTCATGGGCCATGTGATTTAAGGAGTTCCTTCCAAGAATGTACACGGAACACACTGCGTTTTGTCTGTATTTGTAGCTCTTGCAAAGAATAGAAGACCCTGATATTTGCCTTGCCATCAGTGAGCAGTCTCTTGATCAGCGCCCCAGCTTGGCGGCCTCTCACTTCCTGGCCGATTACCTCACGACTCACTTCTACGGGAACCTGACAGCTGCTCGCCATAATGAAATTCAGGCTCTCTACATGGGGTCGAAAGTGAGTAAAACTGCGGCATTGTGAGATTTACAGCATTGTATAATTCTATAAGTATTTGCCAGCAAATCTTTACCAGAGCCTTCTTATTGTGCGGGTCCTCAGTTCGTGAGTCCTGTCCCTACCCTTGCCACAAATACCAAAGGAAGGAGGAGATGGTTTAAAAGTAGACTTTCCCTTCCCCATCTTTGTAGTTCCTGTATTCTGAGGCGATTGCAGCTCCCAGTGTGAACAGAGCATTCTTGTGTCTGTTTCAACTGTGCGGAATGAAGGATCATACAGTCCAGAGGAAGGAAATTATATTATACAGTGTTTATAAGGACAGTTGCTATCTTTAAGTGAAAAAGGTAGCATCCTGAACTTATTCTCGTGTTACAAACACCAGGTATCCTCCAATGCTACCACTACAGAGGGAACTCTGTAGTAGTATGGATAAATATATGTCCATTTGTATAATGGTTTTTGACACTTAGATATTCTTCTAAGGATCTCCCACATACCTTCTAAAAGTGGGCAATATTTCTCTTTCTGGCTGTTACCTTTACAGAAGTCATATCAGACTTAGTCATACAAAAGGCTCTGTTCCACCTGGGAATAAATGCATTAAGCAATAGAATGCATATGGAAACAAAATGCAGTGCGTTACATAATAGGCCCTTCTTTTAGGACTACAAATAGCAGGTTGTTCCAGTGCTTGGTGCAACAATTTTGTTTCATTTCCTGTTTGTTTATTGCTCCTCTTGGAGGACTTGATGTTAACTTGGGAAGTGTCTATATCAGCTGATCATCTTTTGGAGAACTGCTGTTATTTTCTTCTTTCTATGCTTCCTGAAATGGTGGATGTAGTGAAGAGACAAGAGGGAAAAAATAAGGATTGGGCCAATGTTTATCTAGTAGATTTATTTTAGTAGGAGAATGTGCTCTACCCTGCTAGAACACTACTGTCACAGGGTCACAGAATGCTTTCCCTTTCTCAGCTTTTTCCTCTCCCCCTCTGAAATGAGGCACTGTTCTATAGACGTGAAACAAGTCAGGTAGAAGCCAAGTGATTTGTCTAAATCTACTCAGTAATTCTGAAACAGAGCTAGGAATAGGCCCAGGAAATCCCATCTGCATTTCTTAGCCTCTAAGTGTTATTCCATTCCTTACATCATAAGCAGTTCTGCTAGTTCCTTATCTTTGCTCTTAAAAAAAAAAAACCCAGATTTGGGGATGATTAATCTTAATTTTTAATTGTCCCAGGCAGGTGTTGCTGACTCTACGTCCCAGGTGTTGCTGACTCTACCCGAGCTCTACCGTGTTAACTACTTCCACCTCTCCTCCAGGCCACTGCTCATGCTGGAGCAGCTCCTCATGAATATGAAAGTGGACTGGGTAGCTGTGGCTGTGCAGACACTACACCAGCTCTTAGCTGGACAGGAAATTGGTTTTGCTGTAGAAGATATTGATAACTTGCTCTCCAAGTATGCAGAAAAAGCCCTTGACTTCCCTTTCGCATTAAAAGAAAAGAGATCAGGTATCTGACCTTGAAAATGTTGGTTTTGCCCTTGGGAATGAAGGGCAAGTTTTCCCCCAAATCATCTCACCAATTGCGCCCATAGCATTTTGAGACGAGTCTCTCCCTCCAATCCAAGACATGTCCTTGACTTTCTTGTAATGATCCTAGGCTTGTAAACTTGAGGATCAACAGCTCTGAAAGTTTCTCAGCCTTTACTCTCTTGCTCCTTTTCAGGGTCTCCTTTCTTCTATGTACTGTGCAATTTCATTTGATTTCTGTGTAATATAAAATAACAGCCAACTTCAGCAGTTCTAACGCCCTTCACTCAGCTGCATCTCCCCTAGAATCAAATAGGGGCTTAATCTTTAATACTATTTCCTCCTTCCAGATCTCTGTACCTTTTTATATAAGGACTTTTGAACTTCTGGTTCTATTAATTACACATGCACAGCTCCCTCTCCTGTTTTACCAGCCCCTTCTAGCCCCCATGCTAGCTTCAGTTCTCCTGGGCTTAACTCACTGTGGTAATTTTAGAACCTGAAGAGCAGAGGGTGCTGCAGATCAAGTTTGGTGCTTTTGTTGACCATGTGCACACATGCATTTTCTTTCATGAAGAGTAGCCCACAGTTCCTCCTGAAATGTGAATCATTGTGGACTAAGCTTCATGAACGATGTAATAATTTGTTACATAGCTAATCCTGTTTTGTACTAACATTTTTATGTGCTGCTGTGAATGGCCTCTTCTAATCTTCCTAAACATGATTTAGATATATGACCAATGTTACTTATTTTTTCCTCTGTCCTAGATTCTGTCATACGTATCCAAGAGAGTCTCAGTCAAATATTGGAGTGTGAAGCACTGTCTAAATCAGCATCACCAGAACCATCTTATGCCAGCTTTAGTGGTAAGATTTGAGGTCTCAATGCTATTTTATTTCAACATATTTTTACTTTTTTTTATTCCCTGCTTGTGTCTGAACTCTGCCTTCTGCCATTTAATAGTAGCTTTGGTCATACTTAGCACACGTTAGTAGGTCTCTGCAGTTGGGTACTTTGGGCCCAGTTAAAAGAAAACTTGACAGGAGTTAAGGGTGAAGTGTGTGGCTTTGTTTTGGCCTTTGGTAGGTATCTGCAAAGCACCTGAAGAGTGATGAATCAGAACCAGAGCTCCACAGTGGTGTCTTGATCCTACAGTTCGGGTTTCTGAGCTATTCTCTAGTTTCATATTCTGCATATGTGAGGTGATGATGGAGTCTTGGATCTGTCTGCGCAGCTCTTCCGTCTCTCATGATAGCCAGGACATAGTTTGTATGCCAGCTAATTGTCACCACACTGTTACAAAACCTGGATATTGTCCTCTAGTGTTCCTCTGCAATCCAGTAGCTACTTGGATGAATGTAAGTTAGCTTTTTTGGAATGGAGTGGTGTGTGTTTGTATGTCTAGTATCACTGTGTACAGGAGGTGTCTCGCAGAGCTGCAGGAGGATTTGAACCTTTCAGTTAGCCTGAAGTGTATCGTACAAACTAAGAGCCTATTTAGAGCTATAAATCTGAGACCCTAAATGCCTTGATGGTAACATCAAAGATGCCAAAGGCCACAGACTTGCAAATTCCTACCTCTTTGAATTGATTTGCCCGCTTTAGATTGTGATGGGGAGCAGAACAGGGAAGGATATGCAATCGCTAGTCACGGTGTAACTCTCCTGAGATGCTAAAGAAAAGACAGTCTTTGTGAATGTCAGTCTGCCTGTACTGGATATCCTTAAAATTATATTTTATGCCATCCTATATATTTGGTATCCATATATCTGTGTGGTTTTTTATTTTTTTCCAAATCTCTGCTTATGATACAAGAACAGATGTTGACAAGACCTAGTCTTAGACATCTAAAGTTTTAATCACAAATGTCTGTTAATAAATAAGCAGCAAGTCAGATAACCTTAATAAGTTTGTAATATTTTATGTTCTTCAAGACTCTATTATAAACAGCTAAAATTCCATTCTGTGCTTGTCTTTCTGGGGTCTTTTAAGGCATTACTACGTCTGCAAGTTCCAGAGATAGAAGCCTGCAGCAGAATTTGCCTCCTCAAGAATTTGTACCACCTGAGAAGCCACCACCAAAACAGCAATGGATACCCGATGACACTGAAATGATCTGTATGGTCTGCAAAACTGAACGCTTTACTATGGTAAGGAACAGAGATTAAGTACAGGCATTTCTAGAATTGTGATCCTAATGTGAATGCTTGCTCAGATTCTGTTTCTTAAGAGCTCCTGGCTACTTCAGCAAGTTTGCCTATGTCAGCGTAGGTTTGCTAAGACTCACCCTGTTTAACCATTAGTTTCTGTTTAGATCAAGTAATGAGACAAATGGCAGCAGTGGCGACAGTGTTAACTCTGCACAGAGTCTCAGAGACCTCTCTGTGAGGCTCCCGTGAGAACATGGAGATTGGCAGTGGCAGTGGCACAGGGCTGTCTAACTGACTGTGCTGGCTGCTATGAATAACATGAGCATAACATAAGTCACCTTGCCCGTACACAGGAGAGTCAACTTTGTTGTTTACGCTTTTCTACAACTGGTGTTGTATGAAGTACTCAAATGCAGTGGTACTGTTAAGGAAAAAATTAGTTGTGAGTTCTGTATATGTTTGACAATCTGTTTTATATTGCTTACAAACAGCACTACTTTCTCAAAGCTATGTTGCTTTTGAATTTTGAAATAAATAAGATGTTGTCAGAAAGACTGTCCACAGCTTTAAACTTTTTCAGGAGATCTAAATTGATCACCGATCTAAATATGATCAAAATTGGAACAATTGGAAAGTCTAACACTGCAACAAGCTTATCAGTTGTTCTGTGTTTTGTTTTTTTTGCCTTTTTTTTTCTATTGTTATATCCTGCCCAAAATGGAATTGTGGCAGTGAGAAGCCATCGTCGTAGTTCCAACAGGCCTTATTGTTTGCGCTGTTGGCTTGTTTTGAATGTAGTAAGTTTACTCCTACACGGAGGCAAATAGAGGGGGGAATTTTATTTGGTTCTTTCAGCTGCTTGTCCATGGCCTCTTGTGCTTAGTTCAACAGGCGTCATCACTGCAGGCGCTGTGGCAGGCTAGTGTGCAGCTCTTGCTCCACCAAGAAAATGGCAGTAGAAGCTTGCAGAGAAAATCCAGCTCGTGTATGTGACCAATGCTATAGTTTCTACAATAGGGAACATCCACCTGACTCTGTACAAGACACAAGCATGTAAGTCCTTTCAGTCTAGCTCTTTGTAATAGTTGAGTACATCAATTAATCGCTTAAGAATTGAATACTTTGGTGCCAAACATTCAGAACAAAATAATTATAATGAGCATTCGAGTTGCTGGCAGTTCAAGCAAGTTAATGATTATGTAGTTTTTGAAATTGAAACTGTGCCCTTAGTGAAAGACCTAGCTGTGATGAGTGAGAGACTTTTTTTTGGTTGCTTTCAGGTGAGAACTGGAGTGAAATTCACAGTGCATAGGTTAGGTCAGCTGGTGAAAAACACAACTGTAAAGAGTGGGCTTTATGCTCTGGGGAAGGTTGGGGTGAGCAGTGTTCTGAAATGGCTAGCTATGTTGTTTCTTCTTAAAATTACATTTTTCCCTGTGTCCTGGAACAGGCGTGATGTTTCTCTCTTTCTATTGCAGCACAAAAGAAGATCAGGACCAACTGGAAGGTGAGGAATGGAGTAATGTTAAACTTTAGTTGCACTTAAAGTGCCTGATTACTAGTATAACTTGGGATAGGAACCTGCCACATCTACATGTAGAAAAAGGGTCATAAGTCTCCATTTTAAAAATACCACTATTCTCATATGAACAATCTGAAATAGGACATTCTGAATTTCTGTAAATATAAATTATGATTTGGGAGAGGTGTCAGAGCTAATACTGAACAAGCTGGGTGGGTTTAAAGGCAGCAACTGAAAACAGCAGTGGGAGAATGCACTTTGCCTAGTGGAAGCAGTCACTGAAAGGCTGGGCTGAGAGGAGAAATTATCCCAGTGGAGAGCAGTGCTGGGAGCTGCTCTTTCCAAGAACTGTGGCAGTACGTGGTAGAATAGCACTGCCCTGTCTGGAGGTGACTGATATCAGTGCTGGCTGGGGGAAACACAAAATGAGGCTCCTCTGGTGGGTCTGGCTGTATCCCAAATCCCAACTGCTTTGCTGGCTGTGTGGAAATGTCTCTCCCCCGTGCCCCATCATTTTCCCCATCAAATATCTTGACATTTTGGGGGGAGCAATAAAGTTCTATTGAATTTGTCAGCCATTTTCCTCAGCCATTTTCCCTTGAGCTGTTTTTCCTTTTTCTTTGTTAGCCTGGTGTTAGTGAGGTGACTGAGCAAACGCTTGCTTAAAAAAATAATTTCCCATGCTGACATAACACTCTGGCAAACCCCAGCCATTGTTACTCGAGGTGAGGCTAGTATCCACGTGAAACATGGTGCAGAGCTTGCACAGCAAGTACAAGCACAGCACAGAGCTCCTCAGGCTGAAGAGGGAGAGTGTTCTATGCTGCTGCTTTTCCCATTTCTCTGATGGGAATATGAAGAAGTCTTATCTAAAGTTTTCAAGTCTCTTTCTTTCTTTCTTTCTTTTTTCTTTTCTTGTTTTGTTTTCTTTTCCCCACCCTTGTTTCTTTAGTTTTTTAGTTACTCATAGTTACTTTAGTTACTTAATTTTTTTAGTTACTCATCACTGGAACAATGTATGTTTGTTTGTTTGTTTTTGTTTGTTTTTTAAGAAATTTAGAACAGTGAATTTTCTGCCCCCCCCTTTTTTTCTAACAGAAAAGCAGGGTTTTTTTTTCTTTTTTTTCAATTCTTAATTTTCCAGGAAGAAATTTCCATTTTTCAGCCCTGAAAAGTTGTTTGTTCCTTTTTTGCTAGGAACCACAATCATTAGCATCAGAGGGCTTCTGCCTTCTAACTGCTCTTGGATGACAGACATGATTTCATTTGTAACTACTGTCTGTTTTAGTGGAATAAGTTGCAGCTCAGATTCCAAGTAGAATGAAGAAAACAAATTAGTTATTGAAATAATCTCTTTCTGCCTACCCATTCTGTGCATTATCCATTACACTATTTTGGTGTGAGAACAGATTTCAAACTTAGATTTTCTTAGTCTTAGGAGGAGAGAGAAACTTTTCACAGGAATTATTTATTTGATTCATTCGATCAAAGCAAAGTTTCTGTACTGTTACTTCATGTGAAAACTTAACCTACGGAGTTAGCTTCTTGTAACCCTTTATCTGAAAGCAGTACGTTTGAATGACCTTCATTCTAAAAAGAAGGCAATTGGGTCCATGTAGCCTTTCTTTTGACAACTGGTGCTTCAGTTTCCCTTTTGAGCTGTAACCCATAGCTCATTTATTTCCACATCCTTCTTGATCAGAAATATTTAATCCTTGGGATGATGGAAGACTTAGAGGAGGTTGCTGTGTTTGATATCCCATTGAATAAGGTTTGGGTAATGATCTGAAACTATATTGCCATTTCTTACTGAGCAGGTAATGTGAGCATCTTTTGATGCAGCTTGACGGTCTGCTGAGGAATGGAAATATTTCAGTAGTTTTGTGCAAGACGTGAGGCTAATGAGAATTGGCACAGTGGAGGGATTGTAGGGAACTGCTTTAGAGTGTTGGATAGCTCTGAATGATGTTCCCTCAGATAGGTTTGTTGCCTCTTGTGTGATGCTTCTGCCTTTTCAGCCACAGAAATATCTACTAACAAATACGCCACAGTGGTGCAAATTCCTGAGACAACTGAGCTTGAATGGATTATTTCCCTGAATGAAGAGGAAAATGAAATTGTACGCAGTGAATTTTACTATGAGCAGGTGAGATCTGGAGAAAGACAGTCCAGAGAGTTCCCTAAATCATTACCTCAGCACTCACGTTCATTTTTCTTCTCCACTGTCAGGCTCCCAGCTCTTCCTTATGTATTGCCATCCTCGGTCTGCACAGTGATAGTGTGGTGTGTGGCCACCAGCTGATAGAGCACTGCTGCAAACTGTCCCAAGGGCTGACTAACCCGGAGGTGGATGCAGGACTGCTTATGGACATCATGAAACAATTGCTTTTCAGTGCCAAAATGATGTTTGTAAAAGCTGGAAGGAGCCAGGATCTAGCTCTCTGTGACAGGTGATTTATCAGATGTTCATTAGGCTGCGCCAAGGTCCTCTCAGGACTCTTAACCCTTTTATACAAAGGAGTGGTGAAGGAGGTTTTTTTGTGATTGTAGCGTGGGCATTTTAAGCAACAAGAGAAGTTCAGGGCATGACACGAAAGCTCAAATAATACAAGTTCAAGTCTGTGTGTGGCTACATAGAAATTACTGTTAAAATTCTCAGAGTAGGGAGAGAGAATTCATACTGACTGGGTAAATCTGTTTTCATCCGCTTTTTGCAGGTAGGCTTTAAAACCCACACTTGCAGAGAGCTAGCATATTATTTGTTCCTCAAGCTCTGTGTACTGGAGCTTGCAATGCCAGGTGCAGTGCATAAGCTTTCCACATGCTAGTTCAGTTTGGTGATGCTGGCTATCAGTGCTCCCCTGAATGAAGTGAAATGGCAAAAACTAGCCAAAATAAGACAGTATGGGAACAGACCAAGCTGGTGTGCTAGCGATTAGAAACTGCTGTTCAGAGTTGTCTTCGGTATAAAATTCTTGAAGACTCTTAGTATGAATGATAGCAGTGATAGTGCTTGTATCTGTTTAACCTCTGTTTTCTCCTAGCTATATCAGCAAAGTGGATGTGTTGAATATTTTGGTTACTGCTGCCTACCGTCCTGTGCCATCTTTGGATCAGATTCTTCTCCCTGCAGCAGTAACAAGACTAAGAAATCGTCTTTTGGAAGCAGAGTATTATCAACTAGCTATAGAGGTAAGGACAGTAGCGGGATGCAAATGCTAGTAATTATTCTGTAGTGACTCCCCCACCTCCCCCCAGCCCTCCTGAGTTCAGCTGGATATCATGTATGAAATGGACGATGTTTAGGCTATTACAGATGGGGATTAAGCTTTTATGCAATGAAGAAAACCTTTTCTGAACACTGGAGAAAAAAAAAAAATGAGAGGAAAGACACCTTCTGCTGTGGAGCAGGCTGCTAAGGGAAAGAATAGGCACTGCTACAGTTAAAATTGGAATAAACAAACTGCGAGGGGGTTGCTACATGGACGAATTTTTAGCACATCCTTTGTGGCAGGACTTAATCTGCAACTTGTGTGTTTGATTTCATTTGTCTTTAATACTGCAGCAGATATTATTCAAGCAGCTTTTCCAAGCATTTTCTTAGCATACAGCTATGGTGAGTTATTTATCTATGAGAGCTCATCTAGTGTGTTCTATTTTTTTTTATCCTCCTCCTCCTCTCAGTAGGCTATTGAAATAAGGCTCTGTTTATGGCATTGAAATTTGTTAGGAAGAGGATTATGGTGCCACAAACAGGATTAGTATTTTTAAAGGGAAATAAACAGCAGAAATAGGTCATCTATTTGAGTTGAAAATAAAACAAAATAAAAATTAATTATCTTAAAGGCAGCTGATACACTAAAGAAATTCAGAAATAGAAATGTGCAGTAATTCACAAAGTATCAATATTTCTATGGAGAGAAGTTCTGCTGCTGTTTTTAAACTACAAACCTGATTAGTTCTTCTTTGTAAAAATCACTTGCTTTATAAGAAACCTGTTGCTGATGTGAAAAAAATGTCATGAGTTTTAAAACTGTTGAACTGAAACGTCCTGGACACATGGTTGATTAAACTTGAACAACAACAAAAAATTCTTCTGCCTTTGCAGGTCACGAGTGTTTCAGTAGTTGGCATTTAGTGCCAGTAACTTAGGAATAGTCAGTCAATATGGGGTGTTTTGTTTAGCTGTTTTTTTTTTTTATCAGGAAATGTCTTGAAGGAAATGAAAGGTCATATTCTCTGTGTGCACATCCCTTTGTCCTATGTTCTATATGGGAACCATATGTTACGTTATTGATAAATGGTTTTTGAACCTAGGTTTCTACAAAATCCGGGTTGGATCCAAGTGGAGCATGGCATGCCTGGGGCATGGCTTGCCTTAAAGCTGGAAATTTAAGTGCAGCAAGAGAGAAGTTCAGCCGATGCCTAAAGCCACCTGTGGATCTAAACCAGCTGAACTATGGTTCAAGGTTGATCCAAGAAGTGATACAGTATCTGGAGTCCACAGTGAAGCCCATACACATTGTGGTGAGTGCCCTATGTTCTCTGTAAAAGGCTACATAGCAAAGTTTTTCAAGTATTGATGCTTTAAAACCATGCAGCAGTGTATGTTATAATATTGAGTATCATGTTTCTCCTTTTTGTCATGATTATGCATCACAAACTGAATCATGTTGAGAAGTTCATTGGCAGTGAGTTGATGGATGATATCTGGCTCTGTCAGAATTTTCTCAGTAACTTGGCGTGTACTCTGTGGAGGAGAAAAAACTGCTACTGATACAGATTGGGGAAACTGAACTCCATCCAACCTTGTAGGAATCCAAAGGGAAAATGACAAATGCAAAGAATGTTGTCTCACTTACCTTTGCTTGGTAGAAAGCACTATTACGTGCCTTTGGATTAGCTCAGGAAGGTCTGATTAGGAACCAAAATAAAAGACTTTTAAGGCTAAATTGCAAAATTGCATTGACTAAAGAACTTTAGTAATAAACATTTTAGGAGAATAAGAAAGCCATTCTGGACAGCTTGTTGAAAGTAGAACTTATTTTAAATAAAGAAGCTGCCTGTCTATCCTTGGAGGCAGAGCCATGCCAGCCAAAGCTACATTAAACATCTGTTGGTAGCAGTGTTTAATTCTAGTATTTATAAAGAGCATGCTAGGGATTCAAATCTATAAAACCATGTTTTAAAAAAAAAAGGCTAGGTGACAAGATCTAATAGAAAAGAATGCCAAAGAACTTTTGCAGAGAAGGTTTTCCTGTTGGTCGTTATCTGTTACTGATTTTCTGCTTTGACAGCAGGATGATGACTACTTTGCCACGCTCAGGGAACTTGAAGCAACACTGAGAACAAGAAGTCTGTCTCTGGAGCTCGTGTGCGAGGGGAAGATTCAGCACAACAGTTACTACCAGGAGTGCTTGTTCTACCTTCACAGTTACGGCACTAATCTAGCAATAATAAGCTTTTACATGAGGCATGACTGTATGCGAGAAGCACTGCTCCACTTGCTAAATAAGGTGAGTAATCTAATTTGCAATCTTCTAAAGTGGAATTTGAAAAATACAGCTGGGAGTGCTTCACAATCAGTCTAAAGTGGCAATGAGTGTTTTACAGTATTCTGGGTAGTTTTCTGCACCTGAGTTTGGAGGTCCTCAGAATTATTGCACACACTCTCCAGTGGCTAAAAAGAAATTAATGTCATGAAAAAATAACTTTCATCTAGTTAAGCTTTTGTACTTGTGGAGTGCTCTTTGGTTGCTTTTTACTATCTCTTTAGATTGGAAATAATTCTTACTGAGATATACTGCTTGAAATGCCTAATTCTGCTATCTTCAGTCTGCTAATTAGGTAGGAAATTATTTAAGTGGTTTTGGTGGCTTTGCTTTCTTTTTATATCATCAGCCATTCTAAGCTTATAGTCTCATCTGCTTATCAAATTTGCTTTTCAAATGTGTCCTTTTTATCACAGAATCACATAATGGTTGAGGTTGGAAGGGACCTCTAGAGATCATGTAGTCCAACCCCCTGCTCCAGCAGGGACACCCAGAGCACATGGCACAGGGTGGCATCCAGGCAGGGTTTGAAGATCTCCAGAGAAGGAGCCTCTACAACCTCTCTGGGCAGCCCATCAGTTTAGATATACCTTTAAAAGAAGCTGAATGATTTTTACAATGCTATCAGAAAGGAAGGGTTGTTGGTTTAGGACCATGGTGTGCTAGGTCACACGTTACAATCTTTCTTCAGACAATTTTGCAGTTGGGTGTTTGATGAAAACATTTTTATATATACAGGCTTTATGTAGCTTATATCTTACTGTAGAGTTAAAAAATAAAAAGAGAGATTAAACAATTTCATATCATGTGTTTTAAATTTTTTTAGTGCAGGTTGTGTGATCACACATGTTTCTATCCTTATTAATACATGGTGTTTTGTTTGCAAGAAAACTAGCCAGGAGTTCAAGGGAAGTGGCTATCCCTGTCTGTTCTGTGCTGTAAGATTTTGTCGGAAGGGTTGTGTCCAGTTTTGGGCGCTCCAGAATAAGACCAGCATAGACAAACCAGAGCAAGTTGTGTGGAAGGCAGCTGGGGTGGTTGTGTATTGGGTCACACGATACACGAGCTGGGTTTGTTCAGCCTGAGGAGAAGGCTGAGAGATCTGTTTGCTGCCGAGTTCATCAGAAGTGTATGCAGTAAAAGAACAAGAGATGGTGGGCACAGCTGGCAGCAAGAGAAATTCCAACCAGATGGCCCAGGCATGGGAGGCCCAGGGGAGTTGGAGAATCTCTCTCCTTGGAGATTGTCTGGACTCAGGTCCTAAGCAACATGCCCTGATTACTCTGAGTGGAAGTTCTAGGCCTGTGGAAATTCTTTCCAACCTGTATTATCTGTTGACTGTATGACCTGTGTCACTTGATGCTCCTTTACATTATAAGAGGCAAATCTAGGTGCCACAGCTGGTTTGTTTCTAACTACCTTTCTGATATTTGTGTAGGAATCCCCAGCTGAGGTGTTCATTGAAGGGATCTTCATTCCAAGTTATGAAAGTGGAAAACTGCATATGTTGGAGAACTTACTAGAAACCATTGATCCGGGATTGGAGAGCTGGGGTTCCTACTTGATTGCAGCCTGCAAACACTTGCAGAGAAAGAACTATTACCATATCCTATATGAGCTGCAGCAGTTCATGAAGGTAAGATGAGTGAATAGTCAACCCACTCTGAAATACTGAATGTCGTCAGACTTCAGGTTATTGACTTAGGTGTTTTTTGAAGTGGTGTACATCAGAATGATGGGAAGTAGATTATTGCTACTTTTCAATTCTTAGAAAATTTGAGCCTGACTGAAGCTGACCAGCTATGCATTGTTACTGTGAGTGTGATGCATTGCCATAGCTTAACTGCTGCTTTAAAGATAATAGAGCACCACCTTCTTTGTGCCAATACCTTAGTACTGGCAAAGGACTAATGAAGGCAGTTTATTTCAGTCCTCCTTAAAGTATTCTGGCTATTTCTTCTAGGATCATGTCCGTGCTGCCATGACCTGCATTAGGTTTTTTACTCACGGAGCAAAGTCTTACACAGAACTGGGAGGCAAACAGGCGTGGCTCCTGAAGATCAAGGATCACCTCAAAGTCTACCTGCAAGAGGTCTCGAGAAGTTCAGGGAGGAAAAAAGTGGTATTCACCTTCCGGAAAAAAATGTCTGCTACAGATGTGTCAAGGTATCTATAGACAGGAAGCTAGGTTACAAGAAAGAGGGCAAGTTGACACTTTTTTCTTTGGTGGTTGTGATCAAAGTTGGTTTAAGGCAACACCTGTGAGCTGTGTGTGACCCAAATCTGGCTTTATCTAGTTGCAAATGTAGAATTCCTGTTACCACACACTGCCCCTCACCTAACCCAAAAGATGAAGATAAGCCATTGTTTTTCCTGAACATACCAGCCTGTGTATCATGCACCTTCCTTTAGTTAATAAATAAATAAAGGGGGAAAAAAAAAAAAACAAACCTACAAAAACAGTAATATTGAGCTAGTTAAGCTTGCTAAAATTATAATTAAACTACATGTGAATTACAAGAGCTAGACTTAACTAAATCTCTTCATGTTTCAAAGCTGAACTGTAAGTTTAGCCAGATCTCCTGTGCCTCGTCTCTTAATTTCTTGCTTTTACCTAGTAAGAGTTGTTTTGTTTGTTTGTTTTTAAGGCTAGACTCCCAACTTAAGTAGGGAAATATGTGTGAAAAGGTGGAAAAGAGGGAGTAAATACCTGTATTTGGGATCCGTATTGTCTGGCTTACTCTATAGGTTAATATTTACATGTGCTCACCTACACGCATCTGAAAAGTACCTCATGGCCGTGGACTAGGTTGCCCCAAAGGCAGAGTCAAGAGCAAACAAAATAATTACTGTTTTGAAGAGTGTGTGTATATGTGTCTTATTTGAAAAGGTGTTCTGGAAAGTAGTATGTTCACACAATTAATAATTGGCACTTCCTCTATTTCAAAATAAAGCATTCTTTCCCCTTTATCCAGGCACATCAATACAGTTGAGTTGCAAATGGAAGTAACAAAGTTCCTGCATCAATGTGAGAGCTCAGGAACCTCTCAAATGACAGATCCTTCCCTGCCTACACTCTTTGGAAACAATAACATGAAAATGGATGTTGCTTGCAAGGTACTTGCTGCTACTTCAAATATAGCTCTTATTTTTCATAATCAGCACCAATTCATGAGGAGGTTGAAATGCTTCACACTTGGAGGAGCTTCTGGTACTATTCATGGGCAGCTTCCTTCTGTGTGTATGCAGTTTGTGGGAAAAACTGTCTTATTTTATTTTTTCTCAAAACAGCTGAGAACTTGGAGCTGCTCTGCTCAAAGAAATGAAAGTTTCAGAGGCAAAAGATACCAATGCTAATAGTAATGTGTCTGTTTCTCTGTTGTGCATCTTACTGTGCTTTGAAGCAAGGCAATCAATGCTGGTTTTGATACCTTTGCTGAATTCAGCTCGGCCTCACCTTTAACTTACTCAGTGTTTCCCAGTGAATCAGTGTGTGTCAATATTTGCTCTGCCTCATGACTTCTCTTTTGGCAAATCTACTGCTTTCAGACCAAATTCAGAACTGGGAGCTACACTGCTATTACTTAGCTGCATGTACCAGAAAAAGGAATATGCATCCTGAAGCTTGAATGATGCCTCTCTCTTTCAGGTCATGCTTGAAGGAAAAAACATTGAGGAGGGATTTGGGATTGCATTCAGAGTCCTTCAGGTATGGAAAAACTGATATTCTTGTTACAAAAGATAAACCCCTACAAACAGCAATCATTTAAGTAAAAGACCAAAGGCCTTCTAATTCCTAAAAGAGAAAAGATCTTGCGAGAGGTCATCAGTTAAGTCTTAAACTGTCCTTGTGTTTGGAGGAACGTGTTTTGGCTCCAGCAATTAAGATTTTGCTTCAGCGTCTCACAAGGGAAGCGAGTATGGCTTTTATTTTGCCTTGCAGCTTGTTCAGTGGCTTGTGTTGGCAAAACACAATCACAGATAGAAGCTGAGAGCTTTGACTTGGCTATCACGAACTGCAGAAACTTGCTTGCAAAGATGAAGTGAATAAATAAGGCCTGGGCTATTTCCATACTCCTCCCCTGGCTGGGAGAGCCAAGCTACTTAATTGAAAGCTGCCTTTGGAGGCCTGTCCTTCCTCATGTCTGTGTTGACGCTGAGGTGCTTGTCAGTCATGGCACATTCGCCTCTAACCTTTTTGTGCCAATACAACCAAACATTAGGAGTTGCTGAAAATATTCCTTCAAGCAGAGCAGTGTGGAGTTGCCTCCCATGTGGGATAGAGGTGTCAAAGGTCACTTCTGGACAGAGGGGGCTCACTGCAGAAAGTGCCTGTCACCTTGCTGCCTGCTGCGTTTTTGACTGAGGCAGGTCATGCTGCTTCTGGCAAGTATGGATGTAGAGGGCAGCACTACACTTTGGAGTAAGATATGGAGAGCCTTAGTAAAAGAGCATTTCTTAGCGCAAGAACAGTCATTGCCCACCCTGTAAAAATGGAATAGCAAGTCCAGCTCACCAGCACCACCTCTGCTTCCTTCCCTTGGTTTCTTTCCCTTCCGTACTCATGACAGCGTCAGTCCCAAGTTTTGCTGCTTCCTCCCTGCTCTGGGAGGTGTGCTGTGGCCCGGTGACTCCCAGAGTGCCCGAGGGATGGCTGCCACTGGAGCGGGCTGGGAGACCCGAACAGGACCCCCAGGGGTGAGGGGGAGGCGAGGAGGGGTCTGCCTTGTGCGGAGCCTCTGCCTGGGAGAGGTGATCAGCCAGAAGCTGAACTGCCGTGCGCCACCCCAGAAAGGGAGAAGGTAACAGCGCGCTGCTCTTGAGCAAAAGTGGATTTTATTGGTCTGGTTATGGAGAAGCTTTGAGCCAGTTCTGAGCTATGGCCACTGGGAAAATACAGGCCCCCAAAACAGCTTTAGCTTTTTGGAGCATGCTGTGATACCCTGTCTTAAGCAGAGATACTCTGCTGCACAGATCCTGCAGGAACGTGATGAGGGCCTTCACTGTGTTGCTCTGATGTTCCAACACCTTTAGGACTTCCAACTGGAGGCTACGGAAGTGTACAGCAAAGTGGCCAAGCAGCTGGTGAAGCAGCAGAAGTACAGCGAGATCCGGCAGCTCCTCAAATGTGTCAACGAGTCTGGAGCTGCGGCCAAGAACGATGGGGATAACATCATCCTAAACTGTCTAAGCGAGTCCAA